TATCCCCTATGCCACTTAACTACATTTTCCCATAGCCTTGTATGAAAAACTTTCAACAATCTGACAGCATCCTCTCTTTCCAATCTTATTTCATACTCCTCTCCTATGTGTACCTTGCAACTGAGCCAAACTTGGCTCTCTGAATCTCTTCCAGACCTTGCAGTTTTCTCCTCCATCCCTTTACTCAGGCTTTTCCCAATACCTGGAATAGTGTCCCTGCCCCTTGAATTCCAATCCATCCTTTAAAATCTAAGTCATGCCCCATCCAAAAAACTTTCCTTGATCTCTGCCAGGCTTTCTCTCAGTGATAACACTCTTCATGACCTGGGGCCTCATGTAGTATTTTGTTTTATTTTTATTACTTCTTGCTTGAACTTTGTTGGAGGTTGGGTTGGGTACCAGTCCCGTGATTTCACTGACCTAGAAAATACCCAGGAAGGACTAATGTGGATTGATGCTACTTCTACAACTTATGTCTGGGCTTCTGAGAAGTTAAGTGACTCTCCTGGGACTTCACGGCTGGTATGTGTCAGAGGCAGAACTTGAACTCAGGTGTTCTTGCTCTGAGGCAGTCTTCTACTATCCAACACATTATACTGACCTTCATAATAACTTACACTGTATTATTTTGTATTGAGTTGTTTCTCTGTGTGTGAAATCCCTCTAGTCAACAGCAAATCCTGTGGTGTCAAAGGTCAGGACCTTTCCAAACATCATCTCTTTCTTAGTACCCCACATGATGCTGAGAATACAATAGACACCTCATAAATATTCACTGAATTGAATCGCTAAAAAGATAGGCAGAAGAAGAGAAATAGGTGCTTCAGGATGAACAGGTCTTTGTTCATCCCTGTCTTGTTTGTGTATGTGGCTGGCATTGATATTGCATGCTAGCAGCTTACTAATACAGAATGACTGCTTGGTTGTCAGCTTTCTTTCCTGAAGACACCAGGTAGCATCTAGGCTCAGGCTCCCTATTGTCCATACAGTCACCACTAAAAAACAGCTTATTATAGCATTTCTGTAAAAGGTTCCCCCTTCCTCCTTTGCCAACCTGGAGTCTCCCTTCTTTTCCAATTCAAGCATTATGAATAACTATTAGCCCACCTACAAATTTCCCTTAATTGGACAATAGATTCTGAAATAAATGAGTCATTTATACTTAATTCTATAATTCTATGTCATTCTCCTGGTTCACCTATACTGGCTCAAGTGGCCAGCTCCATTCAATTCCTCAGGCTCTTTGGGAAAATTCATTGGCTTGAATGCCTCTAGAGTAGTGGCTTATTTGTATAATATAGAAAACAACAAAAGCAAACACCTCTTCTTTCCCGAAGAATGTCCCCTTCCCCCTCAAAAAATATATTAAATATGTGTTGAAAATTATGTAAATAATTATTGCTAAGGAAAGGGAGTATCACAAAACCCATTTATGATTTTCAATTAACTTCGTAAAGTTGTTTTCCATTGCACATAAAAACAAATATCCTGTCAACTCCAGACAGGTCTTTCCAAGTCAAACTGAACTACTTGTAAAACAAAACAAAACAAATTTCCTTCCATCTATATTGATTGTTTGCCAAACATAGGGGTGGTAAAGATAAGCTAAGTTGAGGTCATGAGACTTTGAATAGCAAAGTTCTCTCCCTTTCCTTACAGCAGAACATTTTAATTTGAAACAAATAAGATAGATTTCATCTCAAAACTCTTCTCCTATATATTAAAAAACCCCCAAAACTCATGATCACGGATTATAGATTTTAATTTAAAGGAGATCTTGGGGATAGCCTAATCTAACTCTCTGATTTTTGAGATGAGAAAATTGAAGGCCTTAGACATAGGTAGCAAGTGGCAGAGCCAGGATTCAGTCTAGGTCCTCTGACTCCAAATCCAGGCATCTTTAATTAAACATAGTCTCTCTATGTTAAATTGGCAAGTAAAAAGTGACACTATGAATCTAGTAGGGAATGGGGGAAGTGTCATGTTCATGCCCCCATCTCACTGTTCCTCAAAGCCCCTGAATCTTTTTGTGTGTTTTTTGTTTTTGATGGGTGATTTAGGAGGACTTTTCTTGGTGGGAGGAAGAGAGCAGAGTGGATAATTGCTGATTGACAATAACAAAAAAATCGTTATGGAACACTCCCTAATGAACATATCTGATAGTGTGCTATTTTCAAAGCAGGTGATGAAAGGTAGAGGACTCCCAAGATGAGATGAGCGCAGCTCAGCTCATCACCTACTTGGGAAATGGCAACCTAGCAGATATTTTAATTATAGAGAGTGACTGTTACATGGACAAGGACTACAAGAAAAGCATTTGTTGATCGTAGTTATTCATCATGGAGAATTTCTTATAACCAGATCAGGAAAACATTATTTTTATGGGATGCATAGGTCTTTCTAAATGTTATCTCATTTGATTCTCACAACAACCCTGGGGGTTAAGAGATATTATTACCATTTTACAGTTGAGGAAACTGAAGAACAGAGAGTTTAAGTGACTTGCCCAGGGTCATACAGCTAAGTATGTACTTGAGATTGGATTTGAACTCAGATCTTCCTGATTCCAGGTCCATCCACTGTGCCCCTACCTACCTTGAGGTCAGTAAAAGAAATTTGCAGTTTCCAAAGGTTCCCTCTCCTTCTCCTGTTCCTGATCCTCTGGGACCAACTTATTGTCCATCTAGAGTGTCTGTTCAAAGTACAGACGTTTATGCTCATGCACGTGGCCACAGACAACACATTGACAGAAACACAAAAAAGAAACACAACAAAGCTCTGTTTGTTTTCCATTCAACTGCATACCATACATTGGATATTAAGCATTCTTCATTTGCTTGTTTTTTTCCTTTGTGGATATTTAGGTCAGGCCCTTTAAGGTGACTATGGATCTTACTTCACAGACTCTTCAGGGGGTTTGGTCCAATCAGAACATTATCATCAGCAAACAAGGACCTTTGAAGTGCCTTGGTTAGAGAATCTCTCCTTGACTTCTACTCTGTGCAGGATCTGTCCTCCACAACAGCGGTGAACACTTCTGGAAAACAAACAAACAAACAAACAAACTGTTTTATTCCTCATTAGATATTTATGATCAGAGGGTCATTGAAAAGTTTGTATTTATTGTTGTTATTGTTCATCCTTCATTCTCAAAGAGGAGCAATGACACCAGGAAGGTGATATCTTGATTTACAAGTGAATTGGATTTAAGTGAGGCAGAGTTGTGCAAAGACATTGGCCTCACTCTGTCCTCCAGAGTCACTGGAGTTCACTGGCAACACATAGGTCGGGAGACTGGCAATGGCTCCCTATATCTTGTTATATCTTTCAAAAATATTGTCTAATTTTGACATATGCACGAGAAATGTCTTCTTGCTGTGGAAACCTTTGTGACCTTTGTGAGTGAAAACTCAGTTTAATCCAATGCTATTTTATAGTCAACAAATGAGATTGTATTTAGCACGTATCCCAGTCAATTGTGTGATAGTAATGACATTACCTATGAAAACCTGCCTATTCCCTGTAAGTACCTTTATCAAAGATGACCTTGATGTATTCTTTTATTATTCTCTCAAAAATTTTGTAGCAATGGGAAAGATGGCATATGGGTCAATAGTCCTTGATGCTTTCTTAGTCTCCTTCTTTTGGATAACAAGAATATAGCCTAAGATTTTTCTTATCTTTTTTGATTGTCTTACCTTCCTCCAGATATGTCCAGATATCAAGGCATATCTCATTAAAAATCCATTGTTACTTAATAACCATACATGTATATAACAGACCCAACACCATATCCTGAATGTTAATAAATTGGAGCTAAGCTATGGCATTTACAAATAGGACCTATACATTGTATCCTATTTCCTGGACACAGAGTTTTATTCTCATGTGACTGAAGATGAAGAGATGGTGAGTTGACTATGTTTTTCATTTCCGTGCTTCCTCCTGGTTACCTGAAAGATCCATTACTGACCATGAAAGCCAACAGTGGACACTTATTGCCCAAATTATTTTGCCAGTCAACAAACTTCACGTATTTGGAGTGATGTCCAAGTGGTCAGCAATTCCCTGCCCTGCGAGTCAATTTATGGTAGTCCCGCTCCCCAACTGTTGACTATTTTATGAGAAAAAAGACTCTGAACCTCAGCACACATTATCATCATCATCATCATCATTTTTTTACAATTTCATACCCTCTGTTGTCCAGCAATATTATACAATGATCAACTGTGAATGACTTAGCTATTTTTAGCAATGCAATGATCTAAGACAATTCTGAAGGACTTATGATGGAAAATGCTATCCATCTCCAGAGATAGAACGATGGAGTCTGAATGAAGATTGAATCATACTTTTTTATTCTTTATTTATCTTATTTTTTTTGTACTTTCTTTCATTATGACTACTATGGAAATATGTTTTGCATGACTGCACATGTATAACATGTATCAAATTGCTTGTCTTCTCAATGAAGTGTGGGGGGAAATTGAGAGGGAGAGAATTTGGAACTCAAAATTTTGAAAAATGGATGTTAAAATTTTTACATGTAATTGGAAAAAATAATATATTGTTAAAATTTTTTAAAAAATGTTATTTCTAATGTGAGATCACTTTCTACAAAGGGAAGCAGAAGAATGCTGGAACAAACTAGTATGATCTTAAAAACAAAGCTATCAACAAACAACCTTTTTTTAAAACCTCATTCAACAAATATTTATAAAGTATATATTATATCCTTTTTACAGTGAGAAGCAGTATGATATGGTGGATAGAGGGCTGGTTTGGGAACTTTCCCTTCCTTAGCCTTAGCTTATTGACACCTTGATTGATGGCCCCCAAACTGATGACCTAGAACCAGACACTTTCACTGCCCCATGTTGGGAATTCTGAGACCCTTCTCCCATCTCTCCAGTGGATGGCAGGGAGAGAGACAAGCATACTTTCACTGGGAGGAGCCATGGACTTCTCCCTTAAATCAATCCTCATTGTTCTGTTACCAGATTCCCACCAGGAGCAAGACGTCCACTGCCAGCTGTTTTCTGAACCCCAGAGCCTTACTGGAGATATCTCAGAACCCTACTCCTTTCTAATCCTGATATTTTTTGGTAGGAGACTGACCATCTGTTTTGCTAGTTTCCCTGCCTAAATATGACCTGGACTTCCCATCTGCCACAACCTTACATAAATAAACATGAATGCTCCTTTATGTGTTGTCTCCCCTAATTAGAATACAAGCTCTTTGAGAACAGGAACTGTTTCAGCATTTTCCATTTGTATTTTCTTTGCTTCAAAGTGCTTGGCATAAAGAGAACTTAACAAATACTTTTGCATCCCACCCATACTGGCCATGTGACCCTTGGTAAGTCCCTTAACCTCAGTGTACTAGGCAATTCTCTTAAGACTAAAAAATTCAGAGACTGCACCACCCTCATTCCCCTTATCAATAAAATCATTTGTTGAGTTCCTTCCTATGCCTATCATACTATATGCTAGGCATTATTCTAGGTAGTGGGGCTACAATGACAAAGATGAAATAATTATTTCTGTCAGTGACTTCCTATTCTACCAGGGGATGCAACAGAAACAAAGAAAAGTACATATGAGCAAATATGAGTAGGACAGATTACTAACAGGGGGCATCAGAAAAGGTTGCTCGTAGGAGGTGACAGTTATGATAATAGCCAGAAATTCCATATGCAAGATCTAAGGATTGAGTATGTTCAAGGCATGGGTGGGGCCAGTCTATACAAAAGTACAATTTTGAGAGATAGAATGTTACATTTGGGGAAATAATTTTGGAAAATAGAAAATGTTGAAAACTACTGCAAAACTAACAGTTTTATTATCGCCGACTCTCATGGAGTCAATGTGATCAGGTCAAATAGTAGTCACTGAATGAAAAAAGTGTAATATAACTCTATGCAACTATGAACATCTCTCCGGGAAGCTCTCCTGGCTCTCTGAACTTTCTCTATCTGTGTCCATACATGTGTACATACCCCAATATTTTAGTTTCTTTTTTATGTGTCTTTGCCATTAGAATGTAAGCTTCTTGATGACAGGGACTGTCTTTTTTTCTTCTTGTATTTGTATTCTCAGTGATTATCACAATTTCTGGCACATATTAAATGTTTAATAAATGCTTGTTGACTTGACTTGAGTTCCTGACTTGGAAAAAAATCATGTGCTGAATATCAAAGCTGCTCCCTTTGCTGTCATATTCTTCTGAAGTCTTTCATTCCAAAGTAGGAGTAATTTTTCCTAAGGAGGAAATTTTGGTCATACTATAATTTTGGTTTCCTATACCATTTATAATTTTTTTTTCTAAATCTGTTAAAATGTTTAACATGAGCAGTTGCCATTTAATTTTTATATTTACTTTGGCAGTTCCAAATCAAGATGTATCATGGGATACAGATAAAACAGATGCAAAGAACAGCATTTGGGTTCCAGGAAAACTTAACCTCTACTTTGAGTAGCATTTTAAAGAAAGGAAGTAAGGTAAAATAGAGGACTAAATGCTAGTCCCTCCCCCTAATTTCTATCATTCCTGACCTAGTGGGCTCCATTATTTAAAAAAAAAAAAAAGGGAGCAGCCAGGTGGCACAGTAGATAGAACACTGGCCCTGAAGTCAGGAGAACCTGAGTTCAAATCTGGCCTCAGACCAAACATTTCACACTTACTAGCTGTGTGACCCTGAGCAAGTCACTTAACACCAGTTGCCAAAAAAAAAAAAGTCTGGTTAAGGAAAAGTAGGAGGGTTCAGTGGAAAGAACATTGGCTCTGAAGTCAGAGGACATGGTTTCAAGTTCCATATCTGAGGCTTACTGCTTGGTAACCTTAGGCAAATTGTTAAGCCTCCTTAGTCCTCAGTTTCCCCAGCAGTAAAATGAGGAGGTTGAACTATATAGCCTCTGAGTTCCCTTCTAGTTCTAGATGTCCAATTCTAAATCAGCAGATCTAGGACAGTATTACCTAAGTCTTCAGTAGGCAGACATCTATTTGTGAGTTCTGAAACCCTGAGGCAGATTGCTAAAGGCCTTTCACATAATTTTATTCCTTTGAAATGACTGAGCATTGATGTAGATTTTATAAGGAAACTATGATGCCACATGGCTCTGGTAGAAACACTCATACAAGTGAAATTCACAGTGATGAGAAATCATATTCAATAAATAAAATGCATACAAAGGGAATAGAATTTTCCTGTATATAAATTCTTAGTTGGAAAAAATAAAACCTGGAGAGTTTATATATATGTGGTATGTTTGCCTGTGTATGTGCACACATATATCATAAAGATATGTGTATGTCCACGTCCGATAATTTGTAAGTGCAATTGCTAGATCACTCCTGCTCAAATGCAAAAAAGTCTTGTAGTGATGGTGAAAATCATTAGGTCTTTTGGAGCTGACCAGGGAGAACAAATATGTGCATCCCTGTCTGAATGGTTAAGTAATCTGTTTCCTTACAAGGCAGCAAAATAAGCACCTCGAAGTTGAAATGCCTCAAGATGAATATCTATTTCTTAATTCATCACAGGGTAGAATTAACACAACTTTTTCATCGTTAATGTTGACTTTGAATACTTAAGTTGATTTTGAGTGACTCTAAATAGATCTCTTAATTTATCAAGGGCTGGTTTGTCCTTATTAGTAAAATGGAGTAAATAATACTTACATTGCCTACTTTACACTGTTTTTGTGAGGACATCATTTGGTGTATCTTAAAGCATTATTTTTATCAAGAACTGGTATTATTAACCATTTGTACATAGATAATGCAAGTCATACCTAAAGATTCTATTATTATATTACATATAATACAATATATTACATATAGTATATATCTATTATTATATTATACACAATATAATATATTACACATATATCACATATATTATCCTATTATTTGCTGAAGTTTGAAAATCCATTAATAGAGGTTCTATTTATATTTCTTGTCTTAGATAACTATTTAGTAGAGGTTGAAGGGATCTTAGAGATGATTAGGTCCATTTATTTCATTTATAGATGATGAAACAGAAGCCCCCAAAGGGGTAAAGTGATTTGTGTAAAGTTACATAAAAACAAACTTGAAATCAGGTCTTTAGATGCCCACTGTAGTGCTATTTCTAAATGCCACTGTAGATGCCTTGTCTTCATTCAAGCCGCTAGCTTCCATATGCAAATTATATGTCTTAATTGAACAACTCATTTCACTTCTCTGGATCTTTGTTTCTTTATCTGTAAAATGAAGGAAAAGAATTCAGTCATCTCTAAGGTCCCCTAACAACTTTAATAATCTATGATCTATGAGCCTAAATATGTTCAAATTTCACAGAACTTGGAGTTTATTGAAGGGACTCAATCATCCATAGTCAGTCACAGACTAAAACAAAATGAAATTGAAAGGAACCTTAAGGAACATCTACTCTAAATCCTACCCAGAGACAAATTCTCTCAACAATATGGTGATACAATCTCTTCTTGAATACCTCTAGTAAAGTTCCCAAGGAAACTACTCCACCTTTGAAAAGCTCTTATTCTTCCCTTTCTCCACTCAATGAACTCCAGTAGCTACCTATTTCCTCTTGAATAAAATATAAACACTTCTATTTGGCATTTAAAGCTGTTTATAACTTAGGTTCTTGCATTTTCTTCCTCTCCACTCTACAATCCAACTGTACTGTCTCACGCTTACAGTCCCTTTAACACATCTCAATGCCTTTGCAGTGGTTGTCCTCCATGCTTAGAATGATCTACTCTGTTCACAAATATCTCTTGGTTTACCTAGATTCCATAGTCCTAGCTCAAATTCTATCTTTTGCTTGAAGCCTTTCCTAGTCAGGCCTCTCCTCCCTACCAGCCACTAGTGTCTTCTTGAGATTACCTTTCAAATACTCTCTATACAACTACCGTGTACATAGTTATTTACATGCCTTCTCCCTTAGAATGTGAGCTCCTTGAGGTCAGATATCATGTTTGAAAATGCATCCATTCAAACTGTAGATCATTTTTATGCGAATTACTATCTTGTCAGTCCTCTCCATCTAACTTAATAAGGGTTTGTTTTCAAGGTGAAACTCATCATGAAATAGATTTGGTAATAGAAGTGCAGATGGAAACACAATAAATGAATCTGCTTCTTGCTTTTCTCTGCTGTGAACATTGGCTACCATTTATCCCAGCCATGAGAATGAGACCCTCATGCACAAACACTATAACATCCCATTTTCCTTGTTGATTTCAAGTAATGATTTTTATAAAAACACTGTCAGTAATCATTTCTTCCCCTTAACCTTATACCAACATTTTGTTCTTAGCCTAAGGAAATGTAAAGAAAAATAATTGTTAGTTCATTCTGTGGAATGAAAATATTCAGGAAAGAGTCATAAATATAAACTGCACGCATCTGAGCAAATGGATGAAAAATTCAAGAATCCTCAGGAAGCTTTGTAAAACCTAGTGTAGTGATCATAATTATAAACTGAAAACTTGGACACCAAAATTCAGTCTTTAGTCTTGTACGAATATCATTTTGACATAAGGAAATGACAGTTTCAGTGCCTGAATTTCTCTTATTGTTGAAGAGATTTCAGGTCAAGTTCTCAATATTTTCATCTCAATGGTAGTAGTAGAGCACAACTGCTTAATAGAAACTGATAACTAAGAAATTTATAAACTGAGAAATTTATTCAACATACAAAAATATTAATTAAGTACTTACCCCTGGGATAAGTAAGATACAAACATAAAGAAGACATGGTTCTCCTGCTCAAGGAGTTTATCATCTAATAGAAATGATAACATATGTACAAGAATAGATATGTAATAGACAATGTTAGAAATAAATATGATATTGTTCTACAACTTGTAAACAAGTGTTATCATTTCTGTTAGACGGTAAACTCCTTGAGGAGAAGAACTATGTCTTATTTATTTTTGTATCTCTCCTAGCTTACGGGTGAACAATATTTGTTGTATGCTGACTATTGATATTTCATGGGAAATAGAAGCATCATGGCATATTGGAAAGTATGAAATATTTTGAATCATAAAACATGGATCTGAGTGT